TTAGGAAGTTCTGTTTTGTTCTAGGAAGTCAAAATTCCCATTAGGAAGTTCTGTTTGGTTCCAGACAGTCAGAGCTCCCATCAGGAAGTTCTCTTTGGTTCTGGCACTGCCAGGCTGGGGCAGAGGGACACACACAGATGTCCCAGCCAACGTCTCCTGTCATTAACCCTCAGCACTCTGTGGGGAAGCAGCACCAGGCAGAAATGAGCACAGGGCTCTGGTTCCCCTGGCTGAGCCGATTTCCAGCCCCAGAATCAGCCCCCAGTCCCTGCTGCTCCCTGGGAGGGTGGCAGCAGCAATGACAAGCTGCAGCAAGCCAGCTCTCCCCAAGACAGGTTTCCATCAAGGCACCCTCCAGAGGTGTTTACAGCTCCTGTAGGAACACTCTCACACCCTCAGCAACGTGACTATCATATTACATTGCTTTTTTTTTTTTTTTTTTTTTAAATAAGTGTGTGATTCAAAACTCCAGGGGAAACGAAGAGATCTCACAGAAAGAACAGGACACACCTCCCCAGCTGCACCAGCTTTTCCTAACATGCCTGTGTTGGTTTAAACTCCTCAGGGTTGGTGTTGTTTGGTTATTTTTTAGTGTTTCTTGCTCTGACAGCATCACTTTGTATTCCAGAGGTGGGTTAGGGAGCTGGAGCACAGCCATGAACACCTGGCAGTTTTATTGCAGTGGAATGATAAAGCTGATGGTTCTGGAGGAGTCACTGCATCCAAAATCCCACAGAGGGTTTAGCAGCAGCAATTTGCTGAACAGATTAAAATCAGAAAGTCTCACAGACTGCTTTCAACATGAATGAAATAAAATATTTAAAAAAACAGTAAAGGAAAAGAAAGACAACCTATGGCTGGAGTCATGGAAATAAGTCTTGGAAATAAGAAGTGCAGCCAGATTCAGCCCAAGTCCAAGGGGCTGAAGATGCTGATAGGATCCAAAAAACAACTTGTGAATCCTTACTGCCTTCTAGATCCTAAGGTCTAAATGCAAATATCTGCAGGACTGGAAGTGGAACAAGTCCCCAGAGCAGGGGGATTTCACAGCCCCAAGAGTGACAGAGCTGGCAAAGCTGAGGGAGCACAGAGGCCCCTCGTGGTGTAGGGACAGTACCAGGATAGGTGGGGATATTCCCATCCCAAACTTGGGGCTGGGAAAATCAGTTTACTGCCCAGGAGTGCAGGGTCACTCCCTCTCTCTGGGACTGAGAATAAGTTCACATCCTTCCACTAATTTAAATTATTCACAGACACATTTTTTCATTTCTGTCAAAAGGAACCGACAGAGAACCCCTACAAACAATAACTGAGAATATGGCCCAGACTTTCTTACAAGCACAAAACCCTTTGGGAGCTTTGCCTCAGTGCCAGGAGCACCCAGTGACACCTCCACAGGTGCCAAATTTAACATTTTCCAGCCACAAGCTGGGAACTGAAGCAGAATGGAAGGGCAGCTCTGGCTGTTCCTGGGCTGCAGGGCCTTCACAGCATGAGGAAATCCCTGCTGGATGCTGCAGTCAAACCCCTTAAATACAGCTCCAAACCCTGTCCCTGCTGCTCACATCCCCAGTAAACCCTGCCTGGGTTAGGAGTCAATGCCTAAATGGGTCAAAACCAGCTCCAAACCCTGTCCCTGTTTCTCCCAATGGCCTGAGGGCAGCACAGCCACCCTGGCCTGGTTCAGGGCCTGACCTTCAGCCCCTGGAAGAGGAACAGCTCAGATGGACACTGGGGCTCAGCAGTGACACCTCCACAGGTGCCAAACTGAAAAAATAACAATTTTCCAGCCACTAGCACGCTACAAGCTGAGAACTGAAGCAGGATGGAAGGGCAGCTCTGGCTGTTCCTGGGCTGCAGAGCATTTCCAGGCTGAGGAAATCCCTGCTGGATGCTGGAGTCAAACCCCTTAAAAACAGCTCCAAACCCTGTCCCTGCTGCTCAAACCCCCAGGAAATCCCTGCCTGGGTTAGGAGTGAATGCCTGAGTGGGTCAAACCAGCTCAAAACCCTGTCCCTGCATGTCCCCAGAGCCTGAGGGCAGCACAGCCACCCTGGCCTGGTGGCCCTGCTCACCTGGCACAAGGAGCAGCTCAGGTGGACACTGACACCTCCACAGGTGCCAAACTGAAAAAATAACAATTTTCCAGCCACTAGCACGCTACAAGCTGAGAACTGAAGCAGGATGGAAGGGCAGTCCCTGCTGCAGAGCCAACCATGCAGATCAGGGGAAGGGAGAAGCCTGGGAGTCACAGACAGGAGAAGCAGGAGCTGCCCAGGGGAGGCTGCAGCTTTGGCTTACCATACGTCTCGGATCTACTCTCCTCAGAACTAGACTTTGTCTTCTTGGAGGAGCTATCTGCACGAGAGCAGGAGAAAAGGAGAGAGAGATATAGAAAATATGGAGACCAAACATGAGGAAAAAAAAAAAAAAAAACTTCATGAAAAACAACACAGACTCGGATTTCTCGGGTTAAATCGTGCAAAACACAAATAAGATGTGAACAAAACACAGGTGGAACATTTGGAATAAGGGTGAATAATACAGGGAGACACAGGTAACAGCACACAGAATCTGTTACAGGAGCTAGGACACGACCACAGGAGCTCTCTGCAGCAAAACAGATAAAAACCAGTCCAAGCACAAGGCAGTGTTCCCACCCCAGAGTCAATACCCAGCACAGACATGGCAGTTCAGCATCCTCAATTCACCCCTTAAAGAAAAGAAAAGGGTTTTTTTCTGCAGGCTGCACTGCAGAGTTCCCCTATCAAAGCACGGGGTCAGGCAATAGCTCTCAACTCTGGAGTGACTCCCTGCAAATTAAGATTACAGCATTCCTCAGGTTTGTTTCTGGAGAAATTAAATTCCTTCCACAAAATGAGTTCACAGCCTGGGAGCTCCCCCAGCCTGAAATAATTTTACATTACCTGTCCCAAAGGACAAAGGAAAAGAAGATGAGCACTAAACCAGTTTTTTCCCCATTAAATGGGCATTTAAAGCCCTTTTTCATTTATTTTGTGCACACTAGAATGACTCATGCAGCCAGTGGCAGAAACCATCACCAGGGTGGTTTACAAACATCAGCCTTGTGCACAAAAATCCCCACATCCTACAATGCGTGCTCCACTTCATTCACCTCCCTCAGCCCCAGGGAAAAGCCTGAATGCTCAGACAGGAAAAATGCACCTTGCATGGGGCCAGGAGGCTCAGGCAGGAATTCCATGAGCAGGCACTGGGGGAGTGCTCCAGAGAGAACAAAAATCCTGTGTGCACCCTCATCTCCCTCATTAAACTAAAATAAAACCAGGCTAAATCACAGGACAGCAAATCCTTTAAAATGAGGAGTTTATCTTCAAATGCTTCACCTTGGGAAGCACAAATTCACTTTGCAAAGGGTAAAGAGGGATCAAAATCGACTCAAGAACAAAAAAAAAAACCCCAAAATTAAAACCCCACCAGGGAAACTCAGCCCTGGCTGGGCCAACCACATCCCAAATTTCAGATTTCACTACAGAAGTCCTCACAGCTAATTACAGCCTTTGCCTCCTGACTCTGCTGAAAGTGGAAGTTGTTGTAATTATTTACTGATACACTGATCCAGGTTGATGATGAGGGTGTTTAAAATCAAGCCCACATTCACTTCAATGCCCACACTGCCTTTGCAGAACAACACAGCTCTGAAAACCACATTAAAATCATTTTTAATCGACTTCCCAATGCTTTGTTTATGGTTTTTTTTTTCCTGGAATTTTGGGATTTTACCTGTGGGGTCGAAGTCGTGGGTGCTGCTGCAGCGTTCAACCTTCTGCTTCTTGTCTGCTGGAGACTCTCTGCTCAGAATGCTGCCGTGTCTGGGGCACAGAAAAGCAAAATATCCTCGCACCAGAGCCCACAGGAGCAGCCTGAGCGCTCGCACAAAGCTCACCCAGCTCTGCCTGCTCGCCAGAAATTCACATTAAAGCGCAAGCATCGAGTTGCCTTTAAAATATTTATTCCCAGGCTGAATTCAGAGGGGAAAATGATCTCCCTTGCAATCTCTGGGAGGGGATCCAAGGCTCCAGGAACAGCCTTGGTAACAGCAAGTGCATTCTCTTGAGCACTCAGCATCAGCCCATGTTTTATCTTAAAAGCCAAGTAAATTTAATGGAAAAATCCCACTTGAAAACTTCACCCTCCCAGCAAACTTTAAATATTCCAGCATGCCAAAATTAAAGATTTAGGATCTCCCCAGAAGGGAAGCACCTGTACCCAGTGTCCCTTTCCCTCCCTGAGCATCTCAAAGCTCAGGTAACAAGTCACAGAATGCAAATGCTCACCCCATGCCAAGGGCACCACCAATAAATCTATTTTTGGCACCTTATCCCCATCTGGATATTGATTTCCTCACATCTGTGATGGGCACTACAAGCTGTGTTTGTATATATACATTTTTTTTAAATTTTTAAAAGCATTCCCCCTGCAAAAATGCTGCAGCATAATTTACAATACAGACAAAAAAAAGGCAAATTTCAGGAACTCACCTCGAAGGTTTTTTGAGAGGAAACCTGAAAAGAAAAAGAAAAAAAGATTAATGAACTTTTATTTTTTAATATTAGGTTTTATGTCAACATTAGTGCTTAAATACAAACAGTAATTTTACACTTCTGTGGTACCTTCACAAAAAACAATGGAACTCCATGAACTTGCCATCTTTGAGACAAGTGCAACAAAGTTGAAATTAAATTATCTATTCCAAGTAGTATTATACACAGATAACAAAAGGAATGAATCCAAAGCTGAAGGGAGAACCAAGTATATTTGTATTTTTCACTGAGGAAAACATGGGATTTATGAATCCAGGATTTTTTTTCCCTTGAATTCCTGATGGAACAAGGTGGTGCCATCCACCAAAAGTTCTGCTCTCATAAAACAAAATGATTTCCTTCCCAGACTCAAAAGCTCAGCTCCATTCCTACTCCATCTGTGCATTAGATCCTTCACCAGGAAGGCAAAACACACATTTGGAGCTGTGCAAGGCAAGAACAGGTAACTGAAATCACTTTTTGTACTAAATGAAGGCTCTGCAGGTGGTTTATAGCCGATAATTTTCCCCTATATATAAAATAATTATTCTTAATGCATTTTCCCCTGTTTACATACATTTTTCAGGAAGCGCTGGGGTGAGGGATTAAAGGGAAGAAATTCAATCCCACACAACTTGAACACCATAGAGGTGACCAGGGCAAGAAATGATCTTTTAGTTTTACATTTCATTTTATGTTTTTAGTTGCAACACACCAATTTGTTCATGACAAATGGTCCCCAAATCTGTGTTAGAAAAGGACAACGGGAGAAGGACTGGGATTCACCAATTCACTGGGAGTCAAGAAGGAGCAGAAGGGACAGAACCAGAGCACACAGCCTCGAGCTGCACCAAGGGAAATTTAGGTTGGATATCAAGAAAAAGTTTTTACAGAGAATGATAAAGTTCTGGAATGTTCTGCCTGGGAAGGTGGTGGAGTCCCCATCCCTGGGTGTGTTTAACAAAGCCTGGATGTGGCACTGGGGGCCAGGGTTGAGTTGAGGGGTTGGGGCTGGGTTGGACTCGATGATCTCAAAGGTCTCTCCCAACCTGGTGATTCTGTGATTCTCTAAATTCTGTGAATTCTGTGAATTCTGTGAATTCTGTGAATCCTATGAACAGCTCCCAAAGCCAGGCTCAGGGGAAAGGAGGTTGGAGCCAAGGGGGGTTTGGAATTTCTCCCAAATGAGTGAAAGACGAGAGGGAACAGCCTCAGGCAGGGCACAGCAGGAATTTCTCCCTGGAAAGGGTTTTTTTGACACTGGGAGGGTCTGGAGCCCCCATCCCTGCATTTCTGTGATCCTGAGCTGAGCAATGGCCCCATCCCACAACCAAACCACTCTCCCAGAATTTTCCAGACCATTCCAGCCAAGATTCCAGCACAAAACTGCCCCAAATGCTCCTCCTGTCACCTCCTCCCCTCCATAACTCCACCTGGAGTGGCCCAGGCAGGAACAGCCCGGCCCTAAAGCTCCAGGAGCTCCCTCCCCATTACCTGAAACCCCTGAGTGGCTGCACAGAGCCAGCCCAAGCCCTCTCTGGGAGCCAGAGCTGTGCCATCAAGGGTGGATACACCCAAAACTGGCCAGCTCCCACACGCCAAGCCCCTGTGCAAACATGCACTAATATGGAACTCCAGAACGAGCATCTGATGACACATTAGGCAAGGGAAATTAAAATGCTGTCTGCCTGTTCCTGAAAATAATTATCCACAGCAAGACACTTGCCATCTCTCAGATAACAGCACTGAATTCAGCTGAACTACAACAGCAGCTTCCAAATTAAGGGGGTAGATAGGGCCTGTGATTGCATAAACAGCAAAAAGTTAATTAATTAAAGGCAAGAAGTGGTAATCCTCCTTCCTCCTGCCCCCAAAAGCTTTATTTTAATCCTAAAAGCCTGGGAAATCCACTCTGATTCAAATGAGAACCATCCTCTCCTCGTTCTGCTGTACCTGCAAAGCCACATCTCTGCAGCATCCCATCCCCCAGTTGGCAACTGCAGGCAGGGAAGGAGGACCCAGTGCAGGACAGACAGCTTGAAGCCCAAAGGAAAGCAAGCAAAAGTCATCTCAGGCCAATCCAACCCTGCCTAAACCCTGAGCAGCCAGCAGATGCACAGCAATCAAGTGTTTCAATGAAAAGCAGAAAAGAGAAAAAAAAAAAAAAGAAAAAATGAATCCAGGGAAAGACAGAAAGAGATGTTCAGGGTGAATTGCAACCATTTTTTATCTGATGCATTTGAACTCCTGAGCTGCATAAAACACCACTGGTAAGTGTTTTAATGAAGCATTTTAGTGACAAATTTGATCCTAGAGAGGTTCTTATCAGCACCCGGCAGGGTTTGTGGACAACACAAAGTGAGTTCACTGCTGCACCTCTGGCCTGGTTCAGAGCTCTTTATAATCTGTGAAACACTAATGTCCTATTTTCCAGGCCCAGAAGTTGTGCAAAACCTTTCTGCTTATTATACTGGGCTGGTGATTAATTATTTAGGAAGGAACTTTAAAGTTTTTGTAAACAAAGCAGCGCTGCAAACACCGGAACCTTTTACTGCGCTGTGACGTTACCGGTGAGCATCCAATTCCTGTGGGGCGGGAGCCAAAATCCCCTGTTCCCAACCCACAGCTGCGCTCACAGGGGGTCAGGCTGGGATTGGGGAATCCTCCTGCCTGGGAAGGGTCCCCATTGCAGGGCTGTGTCCGCATTCCAAGGCTGGGACCCCAACCCAGGGCTGGGACCCCAACCCAGGGCTGGGACCCCATTCCAAGCAGTGCTGGAGTCCCTTGGCTCAACTTCCTGAGGTTCCTTCTGGTCCCAAGCAAGCAGGAATGGAGGCAGGGACAGGATGGG